TCTACAGAACCAAAAGCATTCATATGTTGTGATGATAATGAGCTGGAAAATTTAAATTTAACCTTTTCCAATACAGAATTTTTAATTGATTCAGAATTTGAGAGTCAGGCCACTAGCTATGTCGCAGGGTTTGTTGTTAAGAAAATCAATAGTTTTGACTGTAAAGAATGTCTGGCTAATTTGCAAACAGATATTTTAGAGGACCATCATACTTTTACTTAGAAGAAGAAATGTAATAGAATTTATTTCAAAGATTCATGAAATTATTTATACAGTTTTGCCACTTTTGGGCCATATTGAAAATATAATTCAGAAAATTGAATTTTTTTTTGAAAGACCATGTTGAATGGTTTACATGTCAAGAACATAAAACAGATATCTTTTCTCATTTAGTCAAAACCTGTGTACCATTAGTAATTAGAAAATATTACAATGATGGTATGAAGGCTTTGGCAATGTCTAAAAAAAGAAAATCAAAATGATATTAAGTTACTGCGTTTAATTTTTTTTTTGTTTCAGGTTATGTGGATGGTTCTCTTTCACGTGTGGTATTAAAGAAAAAGAAGTTTTGTTTTGTTTTTTGTTTTTTATTAAAATTTTGTTAATTTAGAAAATTTATTAGAAGTTAGTTTTATTATTTAGTTAATTAAATTATTTACTATACAATCAGCCGGTTGCAAGAAGATCCATTAAAAATTATGAATTATGATATATCTTAGTTACGTAAACTTCAAATTATTCAGTCCAAATATCTTTCAACGTTTATCAGGCTACTAAATTTTAATAAATGTTCCTGCAACCGGCTGTTAGTATGATATTTATTTTAACCAAAGATAGTACACGTACATAATAATGTAATTTTTGTAATATTATAATAATTGTTTTAAAGGTAATGGATAGATATATTTTTTTTTCAAGTACTAGATTAACTTTTCAAACCAGTTTCATTAGATAAACTTAAGATAATAACATGTTTGTGATATTAAAATTATATTTAATTATTCAAATTTAAGAAATAAAATTTTTGTGATATTAGAATTATTATTTTGTATTAAAACTAAGTAAAATTCTGTAGGTAAACTTTAGAGAAACAAAACTCATTAGATAAACTTTAAATAAATAACAATTATTAGATAAACTTTAGAGATAACAATTTTGTGATAGTAGGATTATTTTTTATTAAAACTTTAGTAAATATTTAGAAAAAATGTACTACTTTGTTTTTTGAATGTAATAAACAATTATATATATGTTTATAAATAATGCTGGTGGGTGAGGTTTTCCGGGTTTTCCTCACCTGTAAGTCAAATGGCACCATCAGTCATCTGTAAGTCGCCCCGGAGCGCCACAGCAAATAATAATAATGATAATAGCCATCCCTCCCCCACACAAGCTCTACTTTTAGGGGTTTCTTGTAAGGGGGTGAAGTGTAGGAAAATTTAGGTATCATTATTTTTATATTGCTTTTACTTTATTATATATTTTTTGTTTATTTTTCTTGAGAATTTTAATTAATATTCAGGTAATAAAATTATTTAAAAATTTTTATTGCTTTTATTTTACCCTTCCTAAAATTATGTCCTACAATTTTGCATTTTGGTTGGCATTTTGTTATATCTCGCATCTTGTGTATGTTGCAAAAAATGCCAATTAAAATGCAAAATTTTAGTTATAATAATTTAAGTACAATTATAAAGAAAAGCCCGCTAATTTTTAAATTAAATATTGTAGGTATCTACATTACCGACTGGATAAAAGTTAAATAAATTATTGCCGGTACCTACATTACCGACTGGGTAATAATTGGACAAATCCCTTACCGGTGGCGCTGCAAGCAAACCTGTTGCCATATTTCTTCAAAGAAACGGCAACTCTTAATTATCCTTCCTCCATGCTGGAGTTATAAGAGAGTTGAAATGTTTCCAGTACGTTTACGTAAACGTGAATATGAACGCAGAAAAATGTTTACGTTGCTGTACAAAATATTAGTTAAAGTTGTTAAACGCATCGTGACATTTACGTGTCATAACAAATAATGACAATTTATATTGGGATTTCTTCTTTTCCAATTAAAAAGACGTTATTTTGTTTGCGTTACGTGTATACGCCCGAGCCCGTAAGTTTACGTACGTACATACGTAGACGTATACGTCAAAGATATTTTACTACGCATGCGCAGATGTCAAATTTCACATATACGTTTACGTTCATATCATCACTTCAACTCTCTATAGATTATCATTAGTATACGTATCTAAATAAAAGACGAACTATGTCGTCAGACAAATTCCATTGACGGTTCGCGAACGAGGAATTTTTAAAAAAATTAAAACAAAAACATTCGATGTAACCGGTCCAATTTTTGTTTATATTGTTTCTTTTATCAAAAATGGTAGTTTGGCCATTTTTAAAATATTTGATCCCAAAATTTCGGAAGTGTAAAAAATGTAAAAAATTGACAAAAATAGGTTAAAATTATTAAATTTTTCTGACCGCCTATTTTGGGGTCCATTTGGTCCCAAATAATGATAAAATGTTGCCTTTAGATAAATTTAGATTGTTTAACCCCCCCCCCCCCACGCTCCTCCCAGGAGGTTAAAAATTAAAACACTGATTTTTGCGTGGTAAAGATTTAAAAACGTTACATAATATATTATATTTTATATCTAATGTTTATGATTACCTACAACCCCCTAAAAATGGGGTTAAAAGGGATGTGTCTACTTAAATTGGGACCATATTGAAAACTTTTTTATTGGTTTTATGAAAAAAAGTTATTCCTGATAAAAAGTTCTGCATAGTCTAAAACCTATAATGTATCCATAAGATATCAAATTCTTTAATAGATTATGAGGTATGTCAAAAAATTGTAAATTTTGCTTAACCTTTATTTTTGACATTATCGAAATTTGTTATAAAGAACAGTTGATCAGAACTGAAAGATATATTCAGATATACAATTACATCATTTATCATAAAAAATAAGCTTTTATTAGAGATGTTTATTATAACGATTATTGGTAGTAAGAATATAAATAGGAAATAATTTATTTACAAATTTAAAGTTGTTTTGCTGTGTTTTATATAGTTCTAAAAATATGCGTGTTTTGTCAACAACAACCCTTATTAGGCGATTCTAAGGATGAAAAAAGTATTATACAATTTTTATCCCTTGTACACTGAGACAAAAATGGCGGTTTCTCATGAATTTAAAATTTTACCCCTTTTATCCCCATTTTGGAACTTTAGAGAGGGTTGTAGGTAAATATTAATATCAGATATAAAATATAATATATTCTGTAACATTTTTGAATATTTACCACGCAAAAATCAGTGTTTTAATTTTTAACCTCATGGGAGGGGCGTCGGGGGGTTAAATAATCTAAATTTGTCTGGCGGTAACATTTTATCATTATTTGGGGCTAAACGGACCCCAAAATAGGCGGTCAGAAAATTTTTATAATTTTAATATATATTGGTTAATTTTTGAAATTTTTTACCACACTTCCAAAAATAATTAAAAAATAGCCAAACTACCATTTCTGACCATATTTTTTTCTATGATATACATGACAAAAGAAACAATATAAACAACGTTTGGACCGGTTACATCGAATGTTTTTTTTTTATTATTTAAAAAATTCCCCGTTAGGGAACCGCCAATGCATTTTGTCTGAGGACGATGGTTCGTCTATTATTTAGATACATATACTAATGATTACCATTAACTCCAGGCCATTAACACCACGAATATAGTATGGAAGAAAAAAATCTCTAAATTTATTATAGAGCTCAAATACCACGAGTCAGACGGTTAACATGACTTTTTTATCGTAAGCGCTATTTTCTAGACTATAGAATGATTTCACAACAATAAATGGAACTGGAATAGGAGTGTATGGGCCTAGAAATAGGCACTCTGGAAATTTGGCTAAATATAGGCGTAAACTTATGCCATTGAAAAATGCATCCAGTTCAATATCGGGAGAAACTATCGCAGAAAAGATATTATTATCATGTCCGATAAGCAAGAAGCCATCAAAGCGCTGAGCTCGTAATCAGCTGAAAAAAGTTCTGAAGGTGCCTAATACCATTGAGCGGGAAAATTACAGTTACTTTCAGTTAGGTCCCATAATGGGGTAAAACGTAATGAGATTGCAGATCGTCTCACAAGGAAAGGGGTTTAAACACTATTTGTGGAACCTGAGCAGTTCTGCAGTATCAGCAGTAATATAATATTAGGAGAGTTAAAAAAAATCGACAGTAGAAAAACCGATAATTGTAACAATATCTTGAGGTTAAAACAAGCTTAAATACGTCTGGGTGAATGTAACCAAAATAGATCGAAAACCTGTATCAGCCTGAGAAAGATTAGGCTAAGCACTGTAACAGGGATCTTTACCAGGCATTGCGGACTCAAAGGACACCTTATTTAACACAGTTGTAGAATATATAGGACTGGAAGGGTTGCTATAGGTATCAAGACTAATGCATCGAGGAAGCATTAGTGACAGAAGGGTTCACAATAGATCTTCTAGGTTGCAGTCCATTAATAATCAACCTAACATAGCATAACATTCTTAAAAAACATTCTCAGATCTTTCTCACATGGGAAATTAATGAGTTTTGTAGATGATACTGTAATAGTTTACGAGGGTAAAAATTTAACACATTTGAAAATACTGGTCAAAAAATATCTCCTAAAATGATTTGATATACCTATTTAGCCATAAACGTCTGAATGTAAATTTTGCAAACACTTGTTAATTACCTCTACAACTAATAAAAGAAACATTCCTGCACATAATTAGTTGTAAAAAGCAATAATCTGTTAACAATAAACGAAAAAATAGCTGTTCACATTAGTAATGTAACAAAAACAAAGACAACTTTTACCGTTAGACAATAGTATAACATATACCAATGGACTAAAGTGCCACTTTTAATCCCTGGAGTTTAGATTGTTGCCCAAACGGAGCGAGGGCAACAATCACTCGAAGGATTAAGACGCACTTTAGTCTCCTGGTAAATAATATACTATTATGTTCGGAGATTCCATATTCAGATTTCTAACACTAATATCTTGGTCAATTTTTTTAGCCTAATAATATGTTCTTTTCTTTATAAAATTGATATTTTCCTATATTTCATATGTAATTCACATTTTATTATAAATAAACATAGCTTAAGACTGAAAAAGTTTAACATTTTTAAAATAAATTAAGCACTTTAACGCAAGTTTAGCATTTTGACTTCTAAAATATATTTTATCAAATTATTTGTTACTCTTTTTATACAGTTCTAATTTCTGAGATTTCACTGTCTTTATAGACATGTGATCAACATCTGGTGAATGTCGCAACTCCCTTAATAACAAAGACTTTAATGCAATTATTTATAATTCGTTTGCTGTTACTAACACAGGTTCATTTAAATATTCATGTAGAAGGTTTTAGCGTTGTGTAGCACTGTCCCGAACTTTGTGCTAGATTCACTTGAGTCGGTGTCGGTTGAGACGTAGGGGTGATCTCAAATTTTGGTTTGCCCATCAAAAACGCTGGATTTGATTCGAGTCCAACCCCGTTTGGATTTAATAGGAGGGACGACGTCACCCCTATCAATCCTGGAAAAAGAAAATATTACAGATAATTGGCTATATTATAAAATTCAAAACGACTACACACCATGCATCACGTCATCGACAAGAATCCATGGATTGTTAGATGCACTATTTATAGCTTATATTAAATAGTATGGTAGATTTTTACAAGGATATATAGAAACATACTGTTTTAATTTGTAATTGACATTAATTTCTAGCAATTTTATTTAAAGAGAATGATATGGTAAAGAGTTTGATAAAATGAACCAAGGAAAAAAATTTATGAGTGGCTATAAGATAACTTGTTAGTAAACAAAGAGTGACTCAACACAATAGGATCTAATTACTATTATTTTCATCAAATAGCATCTTTTCATTTACAAGGTTTTCTACGAGTCCATGTCCTTATTTTCCAAAGGCTTGTGTTTTCGATATTTTATTAGATTGCTTACCAATTGCTCATTTGGCTTTATTTCCTGATTTTAACCAAAATTGCTGTATTGCCGTCTATCTAAGGCTTCACTTTGGAAGTAGTGTAATTATTGTGTAATCCCATCATGTAAAAAAGTCTCAGGTTGTTTACTTTCAATGCGTTTGTTTAATCTCCATGGCATGAGCTTACTGATTATGTACCCAATGAGTTTGGTATTCTGTTGTTATGCACATACTCATTGTCAATATAAGAGATCTAGGTTCTCAAATGTGCGTTCTGATGCTTCTTTGGAATGTTTATTAGCCGATTATTTTCCTTGATTATCATTGTAATTTTCTATCCAAGCTGGCTGTATTTTGGGTTGCCTCTTCATAGATCTATTCAAATTTCTTCACGTTAGCTTTTACTGAATTCCATTTAAACCAAGAATTCCCCTGTTACCTGGTGCATTAATTAAGATAGTTAGTTTTCTATTTCTTTCTTAAATTTTTTTATTAACTAATTCAGTTGCAATTTGAGCCTGAAACACAGGTGGGATTTACCAATAAGCACGTTATCTTTCTAATTGTATCCCAAGTTATCTTGTTCTTTCATATAAATTGTAATAAGATCTCAATTTGGCGTCATAGAAAAGGCAACATACAATTACTTTTCAAAGAAGAAATATATAAAATCCTGAGCTTGCTTTAAAATTGAGGATGGTTTAATTATATCTCCCAATTTGTCGTCTCAAACAGTTTATAACCAGTTAGAAATTTTTCTTTTCTTGCATGTTTTAGTTTTGTGAAACAAATTTGATCACTTTTAAAGTATCTTATCCATGTTGCTGTGCTACAACAAGTTGCGTTTTTGTAACTCATTCAAATTCTTCTTTTATTTCTTCATTAAAATAACATATATTACACGTACATAGTATATAGATAAATAATTTGTAGATTGTATCAAATATCAAATAAGAGTCAGAAAGTTGGGTAGAAAAAATGCCCAATTACAAACTAAAAAGTATGTGATAATTTTACAAAATGTTTGTTTATTTTACATTCTAAATTCACAAAATGATTATTTTTTTCAGTGTAGCCTTGTGCATTAAAAATTTATAATTTCAATGCACGACAATATTCAAAAGAACATATTTTAGTACCCGATTAAATGTTTGATTCCACCATGGGCAGTGGATCATGCTTGTTAAAAATACGGCACATGCATCAAAAAGGACATTTTAAAAATTGTATTTATTCAAAAGCTGTTCGCATTTGGCCGATTTTTCAAAAAAAGTTAAAACAAAGTGGAGAGCACGGTTCCTTGCTCAAAGGACAAAAAAGTATTATTGCTTGTGAAAGCCAAAAAAAGTGCTCATAAGCCAGAGAAAAATGCGGTAAGGTTTATCTAGCTGAAAAGAATAGTGGAATATAGTGAAAATTGTATTTAAAAGAAATGTCTTTCTCTACTATTTAAAAAATACAATAAAATATTTAAGAAACTATATACCCAACAAACAATAATATTGAGGCAAGGTGTTGGCCTTTCAACGAATGTGGTGGCAAAGTATTAACTGCCCTAATTTTTCAATGGGCCGTTGGTGGCATTTTACCTGTTTCCCACATGAAAATAAAAACTACAATTTTGTTAGTTTTTTGGTTATTTTAAATTTTGTTATAATTTAAATAATAAATGGGTCAATAAGAGCATTTTAACTATTTCCCAGAAATAGAAAGAAAAAGACAGGGAAGAGAATTATAATATAAATATGACCCCTTGTTTTGTGTTTGGAGTGGAGATTTATTTATGTACCAATTTGGCATATTTTATTTTGTACAGTTCAAGCCACTCCATTATCAAAATCAAGTTTTAAATAAGGAATATGCCGTGCGCAACACAACATTAAAAAGGTAATTTTTGGAAAATGCAACAGTATTAGTAAGATTATCCCAATTTTAGATTTTAACCTTTTCTTGGGGGGAAAAAATGTTATTTAGAACAAAGTGTCATTTTTGGATACATAAAGATTTTTTCACTTAAAAGGAGTCTAACAAAGAGGATTGGGGTATTAATACTTATAATGTTGCATTCCTCAAATAAATGCCTTTTCTCTGATGTGTAATGTGTACATTTCCCTTAAAAGACCAACATACTTTTTAATAAGAGTCTTATGCAAGACCTTTGAAGGGAAGTTAACTCTAATATTAAAAGAAACTACTGTTCTTTCAATACTTAATGAAGGTAAAGTGACGAGACATATGCAAGCCTTTTAAGGAAGGTTAATATTAATATTAGGGAAAACTGCTGACCATTTGCAGACGTTTTACTGCTTATGTTAGTAAATTAACTAGCCTTATAAGAACCCATTAAAGGGAAGTTAACATAAATATTAGGGAAAACTGCTGACCATTTGAAGGCATTTCTTTATTTATTGCTGGTAAAGTGACGAATTACCAATACCAGACCACATCGATACCAATTTGCCTACCAATCTGGAAAGTCTTGCGATGCAGCCATACATAGGCTAGCTCAACAGGCTGAACAAGCATTGGAAAGCAAAGAAAAATCACTAGGAGTCTTTCTAGATATAGAAGAAGCCTTTGATTTGGCTTCATACAATTCAATACTGGGATTTATGCACAGGCGTGGAGTAGCCCATTGAATTACGAAGTGGGTTGAGTTCATGCCTAATCATAAAACCATTACCAGTTATCTCCTAATCACAACAAGAGAGGTCTCAGTTAACAAGGGATACCTGACGGGAGGAGTGTTATCTCCTATTACGTGGACCTTAGTAATTGATGACCTCTTATGGGAATTAGAGAGAAAACTTATACACGCAAGCATTTGCAGACGACATAAACATCGTAGTAAACGGTAAGTTTGGGTATGTTTTATCCTAAAGGATGCAGCGGGCACTAAATATCGTCGAAAGATGGTGCTTAACAGAGGGATTGTCCACAAACCCGACAAAAACCTCTGTTGTTGCATTCACAAGAAAAAGGAACCTTTAAAGAATGAAGGAGCTTTATATATGGGAAAAACATCTAAAAATGGTAAAAAAATTAAATATCTTGGAATCATTCTTGATGACAAGCTTATCTTCTACAGCCATATAGAAAAAATTAAAGAAAAAGCTGTAAGAATACTCTGGGCCTATATACGGATGGTAGGGTACCAAGTATAATGCACTGGCTTTACACTATGGTTGTAGTACCTGTTATTACTTACTAATCAGTCATATGGTGGTACAAGACTAAACGCATAACAGCTATTAGAAAATTAGACAAAGTACCTAATAATAAAAGGGGCATTTAGAACTACACCCACAGCAGCAATGGAGCTACTGCTAGGTCTTCCTTTACTACACCTTGTAGTGGACAAAGAGGCTATGGCGGCGGCATACAGGCTGTTTACTAATGGATTTAAATGGGAAATATCGAGAAAAGGACACCACACAATGATAGAGAAATTAAAAGAAAATCCGGTACTAATAATGGCATCGGATAGAACGTCCATTATTCACAACTTCAGGAAACCTTTCGATATTCAACTACCAGAAAGGACCGAAAGCCCGGAAAATAGGGGAAAATGAATCAATCTGGTATAAAGACAATTCGAAAATGAAAAACAGCACAGGAGCTGAGATCTACCATGTGAACTCAGTGAGGACTATTAGTCTGAACCTGGGGTCACTGACAACAGTCTTCCAGGCTAAAGTAACAGCAATAAATGCCTGCGCCAAAGTCATGCTAAATGATTATTTTAGAGATAAAAGGGTCTTTATCATGACAGTCAGACAACCCTTAAAGTACTGAAAATGGTAGAAGTACAATCTAAATCAATACTTGATTGCCAACAGTTCCTCCAGGTCCTGGAAAAACATAAGAAGGTTACCCTTGAATGGGTGCTGGGACATGAGGGAGTGTTTGGAAACGAAAAAGCAGACATAGCGGAAAAACTCTTATTGAACCAGAACCCACATGTAGTATCTCATACCAACATGTTAAATGGGTGTTAAAGAAACAAATAAATAAAGAACACTATAGGCTTTAGTTGAAACTTCCTGGACTTAGACAGTCCAAAAATTCATAGAGGGGCCATCCACGAGCAGATAAAATCAACTGCTAAACCTTAGCAGACGCGAACTCAAGGCAGTAATAAAACTCCTTATGGGACACTGCGGCCTTCGAAGAAACCTAAATCTCTTAGGAATATCTGATGACTCCCTATGTAGAATATGTAAAGAGGAGGACACAACTCCTATTCACATACTATACCTTAAATGGAAACGAAAATGGTACTTCTGGGTACAATATCCTAAACCTGAAGAATTCACAAAAGCGCCCATCAGACATATTCTTGAATTGATAAAAAAAAATCAATCTGATGGAATAGAAACTGTGAAAGATACAATAAGCCTAGAGCTTCAGTACAAGTGGGCTTTGTACCACGCCCTAATTCAGATAGATAGATAGAATACCAGGCTACAAATAAGGTCATTACTTATAGTAACGTACACACGTTTAAAGACCCTTAACTTGCTGCAACAAAATGTTTGTTCGGTGTATAAATATATTACAAAATTTTCCGCATATCTGCAAAAAATAAAAGATTGTATTGAAAAATTACAAAAAATTAAAATCAAACCTACTCTAAATGATTATATAAAGATTAATCAAAATTCAAATTGCTCAGATAAACCTTAAATATCATTATACACGGTGACTCATATTGAATTATACACAGAATCCTGACATCAAAATATGACGAATATGACCTTAGTAAAATGTAAATTTAGAGGGTGTCTTACCCAAAAAGTCCTTTTTGTTAGTATATGAAGAGCCACGTCGTGAAGTAAATCAAAAATTACATTGTGGTCATCCTTGAAAAAACAACATATAAATTTTTTATCAATATCAGTAAAGCGGGTATTGTAATATTCGAGAATGATTATCAAAATATTTCTACTTTGGCGCACCTTGCAAATTTTTAAATATCAGCATTTTACTACGGCTTGACTAATCATCATATTTGGATGGCAGGTCTCTTCTATTAGTCTCCGTATAATTTATTAAGAATCACCTTGTAAAAACGTTGTAAGTGATATTAAAAATATTTTAAAAAATCATTTATTCCTTTATATGTAAGTAGATAACATACTGACCCATTTTGGAAATATGCCAAGTAATGATAAAAAACATCTATTAGTGACAACATCGAACGAACGGTGAGAATAGTATTAAATTTAAATTGATAATTTATCCAAGATGCTTAGGTATACTAAATAATGTTTTGGAAGTATACTATCTATTGAATACAATTTTTATATTTTTATAAAATTATTTATTTAAAGTAGTTTATTTTCTAATCACTAAGTTCTAAAATCTAGATTTATTCATAGAGTGTCTGAAACCAATCAATATGGCAATTTAAAGTTGCACTATTTAAAAAATATATGTTTTTGATAGTTTGCAACACTTTACAAATAAAAATCACTCTAATTGTCTAATTATTTTTTATTTTCAGTATTATTTTATTTTAAAAATACCTATGGTTTTATACATGAAGGAAAAGATATAGAGGATTTTTGTGGGTATACAAACATGCATTTGAGGATGTAGAAAGATATTGATTGTACCAACACATTTAGAAGACGTCGAAATATAGAATCATGCGTCAGAATAGGGTCCACATAAAACAAAAATAGACCAGTTTTTTTACGTACCTAATAAACATTTCTGAAAATTATTGCCTAAAATGAGGTACAAATTACACACCTAATTGTTTCCCAATTTTAAATGAAAACTTGTAACAATTATAAAAATTGGTCTATTTTATAAACTGAAGAAAATCACATTTAATAGTAACAACTTTTGTTATACCCCTCATACTATTCAACCGGTTCGTTACTTTTGGTACCATTTGATCTGAAATTGGAGAGACGGCGATTCTGATCTGTAAAAAATTAGGATAAAAAAATATAATGAGATGCTGGAGATAGGATGATTAAACTTAAAAATAGATATATTTATTTTAACCTGATATGCTTGCGCAGAATACATATTGCTTCAGTATTCGATGAACAGGGGGAAGCTATTTGAAAAAAAAATTAAATTTATTAAATTGTTTACCTCCGTATCTCGATTATCTTAATTTTAAATAAGGTATGTAAGACGATGTACTATTCAACCATACGACTTTATTTCGAAACCTACCCAAGTAAAACATCTAAAGCTGGTTACATTGATTTGATCAGCAATTAAACTAATATACAGTAGTAGTGAAGTTTAAATAAGCCAACTGGTCGATCAATAGGTTGCATAGAAACCTCTTCTGCTTCTCTGTAAATCCTTGTGGTGCTAATTAACGTTAGCTGCACAACAGGCTGGAAGAGCACTTCTTAAGTCAAATTAGATAAATTTACTTGGTATAGGCTAAAACTAAAGCTGAAGAAGCTCTGTTGCAGCCTTAAAGTGTATCAATAATTAGTGGTAGACAATTATTCCCAAGTTTTTTACACCACCCTATATTTTAAAATTATATCCATCGATTTATTCAGGTATTCAACTCAACAAAATTTTGTTAAACTGAAGCAAAAACTAAAAACATTTAAAAACGTTACATTTAGGTAAAATTTTATTAATTTGGATTATATTTAAGTATAGGTATGTCGTTAAGGAGGTCCTTTTGCCACACCTCTCGCCTCAAATGTTAAAAAAAAAAGGATATTAGATTATGACTAAAATTAATTTTTTTCTAATAGTTGAAGTCCTTATTTATCTAATACTGAACTTTTAACTATACCTTACCTTGCAAATTTTTGAGATTTGTACAGTGCCTCACGAGAAAGTAAGTCCTCAACAACAATTCTCGAATTATACCATTATTTATTGATTAGATGGAGTAGAAAAAAACTAAAAATAAGGTTTTTGAAATATTTAGATTTTGTTTTATACAATAAAATATATATAGTAAACCGTGGAACTTCTCAATAAATTCCACGGTAACCTATATATTTTATTGTAAAAAACAAAACCTAAATATTTCAAAAACCCTATTTTTAGTTTTTTTCTACTCCATTTAATCAATAAATAATAGTAAAATTAATTATAATTCGAAAATTATTGTTGAAGTCTTACTTTCTCATAAGACACTGTACAAATACACACATTTAAAAAAAAAAATTCTCAAAAATGTGCACGGTAAGGTATAGTTAAAAGTTCACTATTAGATAAATAAGGACATCTACTATTAGAAAAAAATTAATTTTATTCATAATCTAATATTTTTTATTTAACATTGGTGGCGAAAGGACTTCCTTAAATATAACAATCATTGTTATCAAATTACAAAAAAAAAATCCTAAAAAAAAAAACCTTATCGTTCCAATTTCTCACTTAAATGAAAAAGTATACCCATCGGAAGACAAAATAATTTGTACAGCCATCAAGTTTCCTAAAAAATTTGTTTTCTTATACCCTGAAAGCCAATTTGACACGCATTTTAATGAATGATGTGCGTTATTTTTTCAAATTAATCCCAAAAGAAAATTTATATTCACATTTTTCATCCACTTCGGGTTTAATTTCCAATAATATCAATCATCTTGTCAAACATAAATCAGAACGTTCATTATTTATTGCATTAATTATTCGGAAAATGCAATCAGATTATTGCTATTGAGAAATTTGTTCAGAATAATCAACTGACAATATAACAATGCATATCCAAAGTAGGGATTATAGTATATTACATACCGAGCGGAGAAGTACTCTAGTACAGCCTTAGATAAAAGAGACCAGAGATATTACATACACCGGTGTTCAACCTGCGCAAATGTTGCTAATTTCTAAAGAAAGGTAAAAGGAGTGGGGGAACTGGGCGGCCACCCGAACTCTGTGACAGGGACCGGACTTTGTTTATTAGCATCAAAATGAACTATTAGATTTATTTAAAAGATGTTTAATGCAATTCTGTATTATGAAATACAATTAACGTGATTTTTTTATATCAAACAGATGCCACGACATTTTATGTAAAGACAAGACCTTTTATAGAATATTTCGTTAGCGTTTATTTACTACGGACTTCTATGCAGGAGAATACAGTAAAATGTTGAAATAGAATATTGTTAATAGAGCAAGCAATGGTACTTGTTGTCTACGAGTATTATAAAAAAAAGTATGTGCGCAGGTGAATACTGCAAATCTAACCTTATGAGTTAAACATTATATTTTTTCTACGGCTATAACATAATATTTAAGATTGGTCAAAATGAGAAAATGCTGTTTTGTATTGTAACCCCAGAAAAAGGTATATTAAGGCTTCTTTCTTTGGAAATATTAATTATTATAGAGGATGAGTCACATAAAATTCTAGAAATGCATATGTCTAAAACCAGATAACATTTTAAAATTTAAATCTATTAAAAGTCATTTGGTCGCTAGGGGTGGATGATTATCGAAATAAATTATCGATCATTAAAAATAAGCGATTATTTTCGATCAATCGATTATTTTCAAACAATATATTTTTTTGTCGTATATCCTTTAAAATCGACTAAAAAGCAAATTAACCGATAAATCAGTGTTTACAAAAAACAATAAATTAATTATCGTTTATTTTAAATAATCGATTAATTTCAAATAATCCTTTTTTTTTCGTCCATTAAAACAGATTATTAGATAATCTTTGAAAAATAATAATAATAATAATAATAATAATAATAATAATAATAATAATAATAATAATAATAATAATAATAATAATAATAATAATAATAATAATAATAATAATAATAATAATAATAATAATAATAATAATAATAATAATAATAATAATAATAATAATAATAATAATAATAATAATAATAATAATAATAATAATAATAATAATAATAATAATAATAATAATAATAATAATAATAATAATAATAATAATAATAATAATAATAATAATAATAATAATAATAATAATAATAATAATAATAATAATAATAATAATAATAATAATAATAATAATAATAATAATAATAATAATAATAATAATAATAATAATAATAGGGGGTGGGTTGGCTCAGTGGTTAGAGTCATGACTTTGAGATCGGAAGGTCTCAGGTTCGAATCCCACCGTTGGCCGGGATTTTTTCATTTAATTTAATTATTTAAAATTAATTCTGATGCCTTGGTAGGATTCCCCACTCGACCATTCACTGTTGGGTTCTAATTAACAGTGCTGTTCCTAAAGTGGCGCTGGGAAACCGTAAAAAAGCCTACACAGAACACGAGGCTAATGGCCGTAGTAGTCGACGCCGATGACACCAAATTAAAAAAAAAAAAATAATAATAATAATAATCGATTAATTAAAAAGTCGAGTAACTGATAAATCGATTTTCAAAAAAAAAATCGATTATTTTAAATAATCGATTATTTTAGATTATTCGATTATTATCAATAATCTATTTTTATTATATTTCCTTTAAAATCGATATATCGATTTTCCAAAAAAAATAACCGAATTATCGATTATTTTCTAATAATCCTTTTTTATATTTCCTTTAAAATTGATTATTCGTATATCGAAAATAATCGATAAATCGAAAATAATCGAATAATTAAAAAACCAATTAAACGATAAATGGATTTTTCAAAAAAATCGATTTTTTTCAATCAATCGATTATTTTGAATAAATCTACTTTCTTTTTGTATTTCCTTTAAAATCGATTAATATATTATCTTAAAAAAACGAAAATAATTTATTAAAAATAACGGATAAATCGATTTTCATAAAAAATATAAGAATAATCGATAAATCGATTATTTTTGTAACCCCTATCGTTCGCTTTCTTTTATCCGAGCATTTAGCTCCAAACTTTAGAGATTTAAATTTTTTGATTCCGTTATCTTTGAAACCGTATTCGATTGTATAATAAATAATAAATATTGCTAAAATTTGGATAATTTTAGTAAACGAAAATTTTGTTCAAGTTGTTTAGGGGTTTATAATGTAACATTTTATTAACAATGTGACTAACTTCCGTAACTTTAGTATTTTTGTTGCTTATACTAGATCATATGGTACGTTTTACTTTGTTTTAAGACTAAAGATTCAAATGTCACTTTCGATTTGACCTCAAATCAGATGAACCGTAAAATTTTTAGGTCATCTTTTATTTCATCTAATATTCCTATAAAAATACCTTAAACAATCAAATTTAGCTAGCAACTATGCTTCTTTACTTCTTATTTATCTACCAAAAAGGGCTAAAAACCACCTTTAGTAAACATTCTTATAAAACTATATATAAATTACAAAATTTCGTTAGCAAAAATGCCTATTTACTTCTTATTTCAATTAAATGTTCAAAATTTTACCCTTTTGTAAATTTGTGTAAGTAATATAAAATCTGATTTCTGAAATATGTATTTGATGCTTAATATTTATTGAAATCCCCTAATGCGGATCTGAAGTATTCATCCCAGAGGATCATGGCGCTTCATGTCAAAACGTTAACATATATTTACCGCTGAAAACGAATATATTTTTTATCTTACATAACATTGGTACTTGTATTATAAGTATATACAATTTTTCAAGATACATCGTGGCATTTTCAACTTGAAATTGAATAAGTAGAATACTTTAAATTGCTAAAGTACCAACAAATAAATCAAAAAACAGCTGTCAAAGGTGATTGAACAATGATTTTCAATTGGTGGGTTACTTTGGGTTAAAATAGACAACATGTGCAGTGTGCAATGTTACATCTTCCGTCTCTTTAATCTAAGAGTACAGCCGAGCGTCAAGGTAGGTAAGTGACGTGCGAAGAACCCAGGTAAGCTACATACGCGAGGGTAGAATGAATTCCCCCGAGGTAGCTATACGATTTTACTTACAATTTCCTCTTAGGACAAACAAAGAAAAGCATTGGCACACGACTAACAGAGCACAAAC